ATATATATATATATATATATATATATATATATATATATATATATATATATATATATATATATATATAAATATATAATGTGGACCATTAGATGGGTCTGCCTTGAAATCTCTTTTTGTTTGAAATGATCTATAGAGACAATTCAGCTTGACGAGTATTTTAAAATTTATCGTACTTAGGGAATCAATCTGATAGCATAAATGACAAGAAGTTTAGGTTCTTGTTCTTTTCCTTTACAAGGAAAGCCCAACACTGGGAGTGTCTCGGGTGAGATCTCTAATGATTAAATAAACTATTACCTAATATGAATAAGTGATACGATGTGAAAGGTAAAGAATAGGAAGAAGCAAAGTTTACTATTCATAACCTCCTATTTAATATTCATAATATCTTATTATTGATAATTTTTAAAGAAATAAAATATTATTTTACTAATTATAGTATTTTTAATTTTATCCTTTTTTTTTTCTTTCCCATAAACCTTTATTTCATCCTACTCCTAGTCGATATCATCGTCGCTCATTGTCGATAACACTTATTGTCGATGTTATCATCATCGAAGTTGCTTGTTGCCCCTTCCATGTCGTTCTTCGAGGAGATTAAAACAAAAAAGAAAAAGGAGTAAGAAGAATATGATATTTAGGATTCATTTGTGAAGAGATGATTTAGAACTATTAAAGAGGCACCAAATCTATCACACCACCAAAATAACATTCAAGAGGTATGAATCTATTTTAAATCAAAAAAATTATGATTTATCCATAATCTAAACTTAGGATCCAAGATATAATATTTGAGTACAGTAAAGACATTAATTTTTTATTTATATCTATAAAATTTATGTAATTTATAATCATTCAATACATCACTGATTCCATAGAATCCAAGATCAACTAAAAAATTATTAATAACCACCTATAAACTAATAAGAATAAAAATTTATATAATTACAAAATAAATATTTACCATATTAGAAGTCCTTTTCCTCTGTTGTATCGCAATGATATGATTGATCATTACAATGATATGATAGAACTGACCGGTTTATACCATTATTTCATGTTGACTTCCACTGCATTGATTAGGTGTGGAATATTGACCATAGTGATAGAATTTCTGTATGCTTCCTTGTTAAAGAGCCCTTTTTAAGAATTCATGAATCAAACTTAAACTTAATTCTTCAAATTTTCTTTAGACGAGTTAAATTTGAACATGAGAAAACTCAGCTCAATTATTTTTATAGATTGCATGCTTGTTTACATGCTCTTTACATATTTAACTTAAAATTATATGTCACTTGGCTTAAATTTTAGTTTAGTCGTATGGTGTTATATTATGATAAGTAATTTTGTCTTATGTCATAGAAAATATTTTTTTATTGAAGGTATTAGTTAATTTTGAAGGTAAAAACATTAACAGCATATCACAAGATGCTGGACTTGAAATTCACTTTTATCATTTATCTTTTATAAATATTTTCTATTAAATAAAAAGTATAATTGACAATATTTGTTATTCTTCAATTGGCAAAAGTATAAATTACTTAAAAGAGTAGAGAATTTATGTATAAGAAGAACACATTGGAAATCAGGATTTGTAACTATATAAATAAATACCTGCTAGGATTATAAATCCTATATTTTACATATTTATGTATATATATATATATATACATATATATATGTATATATATGTATATGTGTATATATATGTATATGTATATATATATATACATATACATATATATATATATATATACATATACATATATATATATATACATATACATATACATATATATATATATACATATACATATATATATATATATATACATATGTATATATATATATATATATATATATATATATATATATGTATATATATATATGTATATATATATATTTATAATCTTTTTTCTTATTTTTTGAAATAGTGTAATGTATAAAAAAAATACTTTCTATCATTATAATTTGACTTGGACCTATTCTTAAAAAACAAAGGTGATTTAAATTATTTATTGAAATGGATAAAATAAGAGAAAACATCTAAAATTAATTTAATATTAGAAAAGAACCAGAATTGAATGGTTTCATTGCTCTAAATTGTTCTTTTTCCATCTCATCTACTTCAGGAGCAAAAAAAAATGAATCTTCTATAGTGTCGGAGTCTCATATACATTAAATTATAATTGACAGATTAATGGAAGTATATATATATATATATATATATATATGTATAAACTTTATTTCATGATATGATATATGTTATCTATGCTTCATAAATACGATAAATAATATGCTCATATTTTTTACATTCAATATTAATATGCTTTCCAAAATTATCATTCTTAATGTTCTACGAAACATTAGCTAAGTGTGTATAAGCATTAATGTTCATGTTAAGCATAGTGCAACAAGCCAAATATACTAGTTGGCTTAAATATAAGGTTAAGTTTTGATAATAAACATATATACAGTGACTATAAGTAACGATTAAATTGTAATCGACATTAAGTGAATCTTAAGGCTTGAATGAGTTTAAATATAATTAAAATAAAATATTATTTTAAACCTCTTGTATATGGAGAATCAAAAGTTACATAGTCATTGATGGAGTAATTAAAAATTAAATAGTGATACAAATAAAAAAGGAGTATTTTAATAAATATTAAGATATGCAAGTGAGATTGAAGAATGAATTTAAATCAAAATTATCATATTTGTCCAAACCAAATTAAACTCAATTAAAGTTGTTGTAATATTAAAATTGTATTGTAAATAAAAATTTTAAAATAAAACTTAATGGTGTTGTACCCTAGACAAGGCTATCTTTTAAGTATCTTTACCTTAATTTTGGCCTCATCTTCCTTATCAACTTGAAAAGTCATGACTCTTTCTCTCTTTCTTCAGTAATTCTCTTACCTTCTCTCAGGGAGGTCATGAAAACCCAACTCTAAGAAAGATTAAATATAGAAAAACTAAATTCTTTTTTTGTTATATCTAGGGTTTCAGTTTTACGGATTATATTTTTTTAGTTCCTTTTGAGGTAATCTAGACTTCAAATTATTTTTAATTTTTAAATATATTTTGGTGTTAGGATCGGAGCGGCACTAAGGAGGGGGGGGGGGGGGTGAATTAGTGCAGCGGATTAAAATTTTGATTTTAACAAAATCTTTCGTACGATGAGAACGAAACTTGAAAAGTTT